CCCCAAAACCCCAAAACCCCAAAACCCCAAAACCCCTCAGACCAAAATATGATTGATAAATAATTATTAAGAAATATGCTCAAAAGTAAGTCTTCGTTAGGCTATACGCCATTAAAACATCCTGCTTACTAGCCAAAAGGGATAGAATACAAGGGAGAAATTCTTAGAAAATACATTTGCACGGAAGGAGGGGAGAGATAAGTTGCATACCATTTTTAAGCATTCTTTATCAACATCTGGTGGTAGTTCAAGTTAGGATGCCTTTAGCTTCCTTTATCCTTATAATCTCTCAGAATTATTGCTATATGATCTGCTCTATTTCATTTATATCATACCTATCTATAACTCTTCATAACCTTACTACGGAAAAGTGATGAGAGGGGTTTGTTGGTGAAATCAATTCTTATCTGTGCACTATTTCATTAGTCTTGATAACCATAAACTACATTCTTCTTGGACTTGAGCACTGACTCGCCTACTTCAGAAAGTCCTGAAATATAATTAATAATATCTAGAGGTTTTACTATCTTATCAAGGTACTATTTCTCCATTTTTGCTAAATGAATTTCTAAATAAATTTTACCGTATTACTAGAACAACCATGTGGTATACTAATATTTACTATCTCGAAGGTTTCAGGATAAGAGGCTTGATATATCTAAACACCGATAGTTAAGTTTTTATGCTAGAAATACACAACAAAATGGGTTAATAGATAACGATGGAATTGTTTGTTATTATAATCCTTCTGAATTCATCAATTTTTTCCGAAATAGCTCGTTTACCCTACCTTTTTGCCAAACATCTACAGTGAGAGGATCTCAAATAATTCATGCACGAATTTGTAGTAATACTGAATGAATTTGAGCAGTATTCTTGGCTCCATAACTTGTTCCCAGATTTTCATATTATGAATCTTTCATATAAGCCATGGGCTGAAATTCTTGAGCATACTATAACATAAATTTAGAGAAAAATAGTGTTACTATTATCAAGAAGAAGATAAACCTCAGGAAGATCCAATATAATAAGGGAAATGTAGATCAGAAGAAGTTCTCAACGATAAAAATGAAAAATCCGGGTAAGCAACCTCGTAGTGCTAGAAAAATTGCTATAATTTTCTCAGTTTTAATTCTTAGATTCATTAACTAACTTGTCTTTAGAAGATCTGATGAATGGAGTGACTTATAAGATTAAGAAAAATCTTGTTTCCTCACAAATTACACAGTCAGAAAGTATTTCTGAGAGCTCTTACTATTTAGACCTCCAAAAGACAGATCACATAACGGCCAAGAAGTATAAAATTCAAGAAATAGGGAAATCACAGGAGAAAGAGAGTAGAATTTCAGCAAAAAGAGTTAGTTTTTGGTACTATGCTTATAGATGCAAAAGAAGACTCCTACTGAAAAGACACAAGACAACACTCCCACAGAGATTGAGCCCCGCTTTAATGGCAAGTACAATTCAAACTACGAGCCCCAGAATGGTATTCCTTTCCAATAACCTTGTAGACAGTATCTATGAGGAAGACATTCAGGAGGATATACTCCAAAGTCCTGCTGTGAAAAACCCTGAGCTATTTGATCCTTTCTCAGGAGAAAAGATTCATAGCAGAAAGAAGGTCTACTGTAGCACAGATGTAAGAAGTTGCAGTCTAATCATGTAGAAAGAGCTAGAAGAGTCTGGGTCTATTTTTACAGGCAGAGATGAAAACAAGATCATGAAACTTAAGAGAATCAGGGATGCTCAAGCATACCAAAAGATCTTACAACAACAAATTAATGAAAAGATGAAGACCAAGACAACTAATTTGAAGAAAATTGAAAAGATTCCAGTAGGGAAGAACGGACTGAAGAAGATAAGCTCTGAAGAAGATGAAAGATTACCAGCTGTTGTGAGTTCAAGATATTCAAACTCAAATACTGCATGCACAAGAGATCTCTTCACCCCTAGTGAAGAGAACTGCCTGAGCCAACACCTTTCTAATTATGCTAACCAAAAGGCTAGAGTTGTAGTCGAGAGTGACTGAATAGACCTCAGGAAGAGAAGTAACTCTGAGAACTTATGTGATACAGTCAGAGAAGAGAGAAGTAGAGAAGAAGGCAACACCGAGGAGAGCTGTGTCACCTTTAAATCACCTAACCCAAAGAATAATGAAGACAATATTAAAGTTTTTGATGGTGATGAGGTTGATTACTCTCTCCTCCATCTCGAAGATGTGGTTGGATCACTTCTGAAGGAACAGCAGAACTTAAAACAGAAGATAAATGAACAAGAGATGAGATTACATACACTAACTTATCAAGAAAATGATGATGAAAACGAAGATATTTCTCAAAATCTGGGTGAACCTAGCAATAATACTTCTAAAACCAATGTGAAAAGAACTCAGCCTGAAGATTTTGAGAAGAAAAATTTAGGAGCAAGGAAGATGTCTGTTAAAACAAAGAAAATAAAAGCAAATATAATGAATCCTATATCTAAAGCAGCGACTCCAAATGATCTAACATCAAAAGTACCTGCTTTTGGAAAACATAAATTTTCAGTTCAAGATACTGAGCTCACGCAAGAGTCTGGATTCTTAGAGAAGGCCGGGATGTCTATTAACAAAAACCATAACTTGGCCAGCAAAAGTGTTGGCAACAAAAATATGGTCTCTCAAACAAGAAAGAATTCTGAGCCTCCAAACATGAAATTTGTGATCAAACCCAATGCAAGGTTAAATAGGAACTTATTTAAGGAGACCTTCATGAGCAAGATCGAAACAGAGCGTCAGGCATTGAGGAATAGCAATCTCAATGGGCTTCCTCATCAATTCTCCACAGTCGATAACAGAGAGAACAAAGGCCAAAGAAAGATTTACATGAAGGCCCCAAGAGAGGAGCTCAGCTTAGAGAATAGGATGAAAATATCAGCTAGTATGCAAAAATTAAACTTGCCACAAATCAATTTAAAGAGGGTGTTTGATGACTTCTCACAAGACAAACAGGCATATTTTCAGAAGCAGAAATGTAAGTGGAGGATTTCTTGCTTATCTAACTTACTATAGCTTTGAAAAGAATCCAAAGTTTGTCTCAATTATCATCAGTCCCTAGTGATGCTCAGAGGTTAGCCAAGAATAATGCTGAACCCTTAAGTGCGAATATAGAGAAGCCTGAAAATATATTTAGCCATAGAAAAATGACTTCTAATGTTAAAGAGAGCCCTTACTTTGTAAGACAGGCGGTGAACAGCGTGTCTCAGATGAATAGCCCTACAAAGGGGGTTGATTACCAACCAGTACCAAAGAACTATTATTATCAAGCTTTTGACGAAAGAGACGTGCTTTCATCAGCTTATTCGAGTGTAGCATCAACTATAGTCCCTGACTACCAAAAGAGCAAGCCTTTTAAGTCAGGAAATTCTAAGAAAAGCATGACTCTAAAGCACATCTCCAAGAAGGGGAAAGGAGGAAAGAGAATGTTCCCAAAAGATTTCTTTTCGGGGTAAATTAAGAATCTAATAATGGATTCTCACATCTTTGATACATCTTAATTGTATAATTTAGTTATCAACTAATTTATTTCTTATTGGGGTTTTGGGGTTTTGGGGTTTTGGGGTTTTGGGG